CCCGCCTGTCTGTCTCCCTCGGCGTCTCTGTTTGTCTCTTCCAGCAGCTGTGTGGTTGTTGTTGTTGAACAAATACACTGATGAAGAAAGACCAGTTGCATGACCCTTTGCATTCTTGGTCTTTGTTTGTGTTTTCACCTCCAAGCTAAACGGCGCTCAGCTCCCATTTGAGTTTGGCACGTATTGCCCGCCGCCACCCACAAAAACTCACACGCACGTACACAGTTTGTAAATGAGTTTTACAATAAAGATTGCAAACACGCAACTTTACTTGATACAAGATTGAACAAGCCAGTGACTACCTGATGTAGCTGATTTAGTGTGTTTACGCATGATCTTCATTTTGTGGGATTCTTGGTGCAAATACTTGTCTCTGTTGTTGGTTTTGGCAAAATTGTGTCCTTGTGTATGTAATGTCTTTTTAGGCAGATTGCTGTCGCTGACCTGACCATAATCAACAAGACAGACCTTGTGAATGAGACTGAACTCACTCAAATCCGAGATGCAGTCAGGTTAGCCTTACATACTTTTATCATCTCCCTTTTTCTAGTAGTACTCTGGCATTTTCATCGATGTTCTTATTATTGAGCTCCTCGTGTAACTTTGGGGAAAAAAGTACACTTGGCTTCCTTTTGTTAGGTCAAAAAGAACAGTTGTTGTAGGAATGAGTATTGACATTTTTTTTATTTCATCACTTCAGGTCTGTAAATGGTCTTGTCAAGATTCTAGAAACCCAGAAGTCAAGGTAAGTTTATTTTTTTTGTATATCCAGCTTTGTACCAGGTTCCTTGCTTTGCTTAGTGTAACAGATGAACTCCACGTGCTGCTCCTGCTCAGATCTTTATATCAAAGATGAAGCAGTTCAGGCGTGACAATGTTCAGGAGAAACCCCCAACACACACACACACAAACTGCTGCACCCTGAGTAAACACCACTACCCTCAATGGTGTCCAGTTACCCAGAAGTCTTTGCTCTTCGACCCTGGGTCTTCAAGCCGACATGGTTGCATATGTGTGAATGTGCGTGCGTGCAAATATGTGTGTATATGCACCCTCTGTATTAGCATGTTATTGGACCCAGGTAGCATCTGGCTAACACAAGCAATGTGTATCAAAGGTTTTGGTGTGTTTTGGATCTGCCCCCCATCCCCACCCACCAACAGAGTTCAGGTCAGGGTGAACAGATGAAAGACACCGTGCAGCGAGGGGTTAATCGGAAAAACAGCCCCACAACTTTTTGCTGGAGTCAGTTCACTCGGTTACCCTTAATGTTAGTTTTAGCCAACTTGTGGCAAAATCTGAAATTGTACTTGATTTATTACCCACTAAGGTCAAGTTGGATTTGAAATTAAAGGGCCATTGTGTAACATTTAGGAGAATCTATTGGCAGAAAAGGAATATAATATGCATCACAATTCTGAAAATAAGAGTTGTTGTGCTTTTGTTAGCTTAGAATGAGCCGTTTTTATCTACACAGGCCGTGGGTTGCCTTCCATGGAGGCCGTCATGTTGAACCGCCATGTTTCTACAGTAGCTCAGAGTGGACAAACCAAACACTGGCTCTAGATAAGGCCATCTGTGTTTTTTTTCGCAGTTGAAGTGAAGTGATGAATCTGCAACTACAACGCTAGAGGCCTCTAAATCCTACACATTGGTCCATCCTACACATCTATAAACTGTTATAATCAATAATCATCTTCCACAGGGTGGATCTCTCTGAAGTGCTGGATCTGCATTCCTTTGACAGTAAGGATGGAGCAAAGTGAGTTGATTTTGTCCCATTTAATTTTCATGTGCACAAAATGTATTCATTTAGAAAAAAAATTTCAAGAAACTTAATTTTGAAAGCCTAATACCAAAACTGATATTTGACTGTTTTAATGTAGTAACTATATCAGCTGATATTTGTCACATAAACAAACCAAAATAATTACTAAGTGGAACCTTTTACAGATGAAGAATAAACCTGTCAATGCTGGCAGATAAATGAGTTACTGTAATGGCGACACTGTTTCTAATTTACAAATTACAACATATTTTTTTTAAAAAGCTAGAAACTGTCAGCGTTTTTTTCTGGCGCAGGCTGTAAATGCAGCTACACAAATGGAAAAATGACCCTGACAAAATCGCAAGATGCAGCACCGCTCAGGCCATCGCAACATAGTTTAAATAAATACATATGTAATACAAGTGACGGATTCTTTTGTGCAACAATCGAGAGTTTATAACCCTTTACAAGGTTATATTACTTGATATTCTTATGTTTTCTAATAATGAGTGATATACTGTATTCAGCATTTCTGATATGGGAACCCTAAATGTGTGACAGGACGTACAGGATGTTTCACAGCTCAAATATAAACCTGTCAGTTTTCTCTAGTGGACAAACTATGTCATGGCGATACTCCTTAAACATATTTTTGGCATTTCTTCACTTCAATTTCTACTGTATCTGCTGATACTAATATGTCTACTGATAATATTGGCCATCTCCAATGTATAGTACCTACATTTACAATAAAAGATCAAGAAGTTATTTTGTTGCTAGTCTGTCTGAACTGCGCATCCATCGGTCTTTGATACTGTTATTCACCGTGTTTCTCTCTAATTAACAGACTCTTTTATTGAGCGTCCCCCTGTTACACCGCAGGGTGGTCATCATATTGTATCCCCTGTAGAATGTCATTCTCATGAATAGAGTCAGTGTTCATCCTTTCATGTGAATGAAACGGGCCGCGGTGTTAAAGCTCTCTTACATGCCCTCAGTCAGTGTTTCTGAGACCAGCTGCAGAGGATTAGAGCTGTGTGTGTCCACTGGCTCCCGAGGAGTTCCCCTTGTCCCAACAGATAGCTCCTTTCCCCCTGCCTTTGAGAGTCCAAGCCCCTCCTCCCCTCCATCCCATAGCTGTTTGAAGCGGCCCCCCGCCGCTCCGCCTGTGTGGTACTAACAGCACACGGGGCTCAAGCTGCTGGACACAACATTTAGCCTCCTTGTGAGGTCAGGGAGAAGGGGGAGGATGAGGAGGTCTGATGGGGAGAACAAGGGCTGAAGTTTGTTTGGAGGTGCTGGTGGGTGTTTTGTAGGATTTAATTGCCATTTCTAAAGTTTTCACAACTCCATTCAGAGTTGTGTCATTAAGCACTGATACAGCATGTTATACCGTGAGACAGAACACAAAGGGGAATACTGTATCGTCCTGTCTCTATAAGCAGAGAAGAGAACGAAATAAAAAAATCTCAAGTACATTTGTTGCTTCAGATGGTCATTTTATTGAACCTCATTAAAGTTTCTTTGGGATTAAAACACATTTTTTCACAATAGACAGAAATAGCAATTAGTTATGGTTAAAACTATGTAAGATTAAAAAAACAAAATATGCCATAAAATCAGAATTAAACAGAAATGCAATTATCAATCATGTGTAAAACAGTCCATACATACAATCATGTAAAAGATTTAATCATAGAAACAACTTAAATGGCAGCTAAAAACAGTGGTTTGATACTTTTTGGCTTTTGGGCCTAAAACATAAAACAAGATCTGCATGCAAAACCTCATACATCCTGTATGTCTACTGTCTGTGACCAGTTCAATCAAAAACATGTCCCCCCTCCTTGTTTCATGGTTTAGTGTCCTAAAGAAATAAAATTGTGCAGCAATTTACAAAAAAAGGGGGCTTAATGTTCAGAAACGGTGTTAAATAACCCAAGTGTTCTCTAAAATCTCTGATCCTAAACAATCACTTAATGATTCTAAAATACCACAAAATGTCAGCAGCAGAGAGCTGAAGAGAATATCAGAGGAGAAAGCACACGCATATTTAAATTCACAAAATAATGTTTACAAAAAAATATTACTTTTTATTTAAACAAGATGTAAATGCAGCTCCAGAAATGATAAAAATTACATAAAATCCCATCACCATGTAGCTCTGGTCAATCCATCCTGACACAAGGTGCAAAAAATAGCCATGTAGGACAGCTGTCAGATGCCTTTTGTTGAATCATTTTTAAATAAAATGTAATTTGAATTAATTTAGTTAAGGTAGTAAATGTAACATGGTTATCTTTTCAGCCTTTTTAAGCAGGCATGAGTCTTTTATGTTGAATGAAACTGAAAAAAAAAGTTGCTTAATCATTTCTCTCCTTTGAAAGTCTTGCAGAGAAGCTCCAACTTGTGAAATCTACAAGACCACATCTTGACAAGGTATTGTTTGTATGCTCTTTTGTGACACTGCCTCATATATTCTTTTATTCCTTAACTGCAGATACTCACACAGTATGCCTCTCTCAAAGTTTTCCCTGTTTTGTTTGCTAATTTATTTCAACACATCATTTCCTACAGGATAAAGGAGTGCATTCTCTTCAGGCTAACATTGTGCCTTGCATTCCCCGAGGCTGTGACACTGTAGTGAAAACTCCCTCCCTGCTTTGGTTTTTGTGTTGAGATCAACTTGAGGCTTTTGATGTTTTCTTGTTACACTACAAATAGACCTAGTCTCGGTCATACACAGCAGCATAAACATTCAGTAGACTGGGAACACTGTGATGGCTAGACGGACTAGAGTCTTGGTTATTTGTTATGGCTTTACAGTTGTTTTAACTTATAAAAAATATAGTATACAGTGTCTCACTATTTAATTAGCAACTGAATATCAAATATGAATGGGAATTATTTAGTGTACCCTTTTAAAAGAAAACATACAGCGTATCCCCAATATCCAAACATCAATTAAGTCCAGTTCTTTTTAGTGAAGCTGTAAATTATTAAAAATATTTATTCCAGCATTAGTCTCATCCCATTTCTTTTTATGTTTTCAGGCTTTAGACCAAATGACTCCCCACAGCAATTAGGCCTCATCTTGTTTTCAGTTGCGCTTTATACCCATGAACTTTTATCACAGGATGAGGAGAGATGAGGGTTGTTTGTGTGGGTAAATAACGGCATTGTTGTCTGTTTTCTCCAGGTTCCCTTTCCCGCATGAAGCTCAACTGTCCCTCAGACCCCCCCCACCTTTCTCCCCCCTCCTCTTCCCCATGTTGCTCTTTTCATGTAAATGAGAATGCTGTTTTTCTGTTGTTATACCAAATGACAAGGAAGTGTGTACCCTTAACACTTCACCACAAAAACCCCAAATATCTACAAAGTGGCCGTTTAATGCTGTAAGGAAGTATGAAGAGGAGGGAGTGTATGTGTGTGAGAGAGAAGAAGAGCGAGCGAGGGCCGCCGGGGGCATTACTGGGTTTCAGGTGCCGAGTGGAGTTGTGGTTTTTGACACGGTCATTGACAAAGTCATCAGCTGGGGCGTAAAAACACTTCTCTTGTTTAATGTTAGTGACTTTTCTGGTTTCAGTGACCTTAAAACATGCGTTAGATTGTATTTTACATGAAGGAACTTTTAAATGAGTGAAAGATCAGTCAAGTCAGTCTTATTGTCAATAATGGCCTGAAAATATACATCTCAAAACATAAATGCAGCAATGGAATGTACCTACGTACACTCACTTAACCATCTACTTAATTTAAGTACTTGTACTTTACTTGAGTGTTTCCATTTTATACCACTATATATATTATTTTATATACATATATGTAGTAGCATAAAATGGAAACACTCAAGTGAAGGACAAGTCCCTTAAATTGTACTTAAATAGCGTGTGTCTGTGAATATAAAGCTTAATTGGCTCGATTATCTGTATTTTAGTAAGTAAAAAATGTTGGAACGTACTGAAATTAAAAACCACAAAATCTTTAATTGTTAAATATTATTACTATCACATATTGCTAACACTTCCATACTGTATTTAATGTCTCCCTCAGAGTATTTTAACTGTGACATTTGAAGTGGCTGGAGATCTCCCTGAGGATGCCTTGAATGTCTTCATCCAGGTACATTCACTGCATCATTCAGACCCTCCAGAGTTTGTATCCCTGTTTCCATTACTAATTAGCTCTAAAACAATACAGTCCTTTGTAAAGTAAACACCCATTTGCCACTGTTTCAGGATCTGCTATGGGAAAAGATGTTCAAAAACAAAGAAGGGCAACCCATGACTGTCATTCGTTTAAAGGTACAGTAAAGCACAATAGTCACCCCAGTGGCAGCAGTGATCAATAAATGCCACTTTATTTATCTGTATTCATCAGTTTCAAAAGCTTCATTCAGCGTCTGTTAATGTGTCACTCGTGACTTGTGACTTGTGTGTTTTTGTGTGTTTTCAGGGCATAGTATCATTTGCAGGTAAAGCCCACCAAGTGATGCTGCAGGGGGTCCATGAGTTGTATGACCTGAATGAGACTCCACAGCTTTGGGAGGAGAACCCGCGGATCAACCGACTGGTCTTTATAGGTGAAGACACACACACATCTTGCATTAAAATTGCATGAAACTGATCAAAATGGCTCTTCTATTAATTATTAAAGTATGTGCTTATTTAAGTATGTGCTCAGGTTTGTTTGATGGAGGTAGTACAAAAACTTGTTACACAGTTTAGCAGTTTTCTGATTCCATAAGTTCTTGGCTGTAAACCTGCATTATAGTTTTGGGTAACGCTTTATTTGAACAGTTCCCAATTTTCTAACAATTTTCTTAAAATGTCCTAGAAACAAAATATGTAGTTTGGTACAAATTATTTTGGAAAATATAAATGAGTAATGAGTAACAAATGAATATTTCTTTGGGTCTCAATTTAGCTTTTCTTTCCAGGGAGGTTCTCTGAAAATCAAAAAGTCCTTGGAAATGTTAAGGAAACTGTTAGGAAATTACAGACCTGGCTAGACCTGACCTTGAGAACCACTGTCCTCTATAATACATAACACATACCATGTCTATGATAGTGTGTAGCCATGCTATGTTGATGCTCATGTTTGTCTCTACTCTGTTCTGCAGGTAGGAACCTGGACAAGGACATTCTGCAGGAACAGTTCATATCTTCAGTGGTGCAAGGAACAGAGGAAAAATAGTCACAAGTTCTTCTCTCCTCTTTGCGTTGAAAACTGTTCTTTCTGGAGCAAAAGCTGTGACTTTGGCCATCCATAAATCTGAGACTGTGTTTCAGACGTTCTCTCCTTTCTTACAAGAACATGAGGTACGTCAGAGGATGGTTAAGGTTACTGTAGTGATCAACACAGTAGTTTCAAATTGTGATAACCCATCACTACCTTCTTTAAAAGCTACAGTAAATCAAAGAGTGTTTATGTTGCTGTAGTGCCTCAGCTAAATGCCGTGTGTCACCCTGGAAATGTATCCTGAATACGACCTCTGAATAGGGGTGCACACGTAAACAAAGAGCCAGAATTTTAATCAATACATTGTATTTTTAATAAAGATGGCTTTGTAAAAATCTGCAATTCTTGAAGGTTAGGAAACCAAGTAGTATTGGAAAGTAACACACATACTGTATCAAGTGCGGTACTTTGTAAATGAAGTAACATTGCTTATGTTTCTGGCTTTTAACACCTTTTTTGTTTGTTTTTTAAATTATTCAAAATAAAGTGTTCTTCCTGAACGTCTATGACTGTTCTGATATACAAACAAAATAATCTTTTTAACCATGAGTAAAAATGGCCGGTTCAAGAAGACAACAGCAGACTATTAACATAACAACAGAGACAAAGTGCCTTTGTGTGGAGTGGTAAGTTCACTATGATACTCAACAAAGTGTGAAAAATGCCTCCAATAGCATTAACATCTTAACTTTTATTGTTATGAAACACATACAAAAAGTTGTTAACTTTTCCATCAGTCAGCAGGCCGTGATTATGATAAAAGGTTTCACAAGTGTGATAACTCAAATATTATAGGTATGAAGTAATATTTTACAATGAGTTCCCCTTGAAAATGGCAATATAATTGGCTCTAATCATTATTATAAACATTATGTTAGTGCCATGCAAACCTGTATTTGATCTACAGATCCAACATTTAAACCAGGTGAAACAGTTGTTACCGGGTTTGTGAATACTTAAAAATGTTTTTTTTTTTAATTAGGTATTTACTCTCTGTCATCTTTTCCCATTTTTTTTAAAATACTGACTTTTGGGGAGAAAATTCTCCAGATATATGGAAACAATACAGTTATTTCACATCACTGGCTTAAAATGGCTTTTAAGACTACATGTTTTTTCTGCTGTATACACTCTGGACCTGCAACGACATATTACAGCTCTTCTATTTTCTGGTATTTGTTACTTAAACCTTGATTGGTACAGTCATGTGAGAACCATCTCTCTCTCACACATGAACACACACAGTAGGCCCAGTCAGGTGACGAAATAGGTGGAGTTTTCACAACTTGGTCATTTGCAATGGAGATAGTTTAGCAGCACGGTTTTAACACATATCCGCTGTTGGACCGGTTTGCTTTGAGGATGGCTCTGCTTATTCATCCCGGTCGTAAAGCCGAGCTGAGCCCTGCAGCCCAGGGCGCACCGTGCAGCTGAGCCGTTTCCTACTCGATTCTGATGCTGATGGCCTCGTTAAGGCGACTATTACCTCTTTTCTCTGCTGGCTGCGGGAAGTCCAACCACGGCCATTTTCATGGTCACACCACCCGCGGGCATCCAAAGGTGGCAAACTAAACGAACCCGCGGGGGTTTGAAGGGGGAAACACTTTGTTTCTTATCACGGGCTAGGCGTGGTGTTAAAAGTCCCAAGAACATCCCACCTCCTACTGCGCTGCTGAACGTATTTGTAATATCAGATGATTCAAATATCAAGATTCAACTTTTGCTCACATGTGCACATGTCTGACACAGGACAACGCAAGCTGTCATACATGTGTGTGTACATAGGTTGCACACGAACCATTATGAATGTGTTCACGGTGTATGCTGCAGGAGTGCAAAAAGTGATGAGCCAAAATAACACTACATATCATTTCGGTCATGTGTAGAACCTAAACTCATCACAGAATGTCTTAATACAAAGATATGTAAGCTTTCAGATCTTCTGTCTTATTTTGTTTTATATGATAAAAATGTTGTGCTGGCACTCTGAAATTAATTAATTGAAATTAAATGCCAAAGACGTTTCCATAATTGCCAAAATAACAACAAAGTGCCATCTATAAATTGGGCTTTCTTTGCAGGAATAGGCCGTTCGCACTTCAGGACTCCCCAAACCCCCCCTGTGTTCTTGCCTTTTCTGGCTCCCCGCGGTGAGGGGCCACTCTGATAGGTCCAGAGGGTTAATGGGACTGGCCTTTAGGGCAGCAGCCTCTCAGCATATAAAGCCTCAGCTTTCATTACAACAGCAAACAGCCGGTACACACGGTTTAAGAAGGACCACGCGGTAGATGCGCTTTTACGCATGATAGGGGCCTTTTGGTTTTTACGCACTGCGAGCTATTGATGTCTCGTTGGCACAGTTGAGTTTTTACGCGTTTTTGAACATTCTGCGTGTGACCATGACTCTTTCCAGTGAATTTGAAGCTTCTCAACACTCTGCTTTGCCACTTGATGAGGATGAGATTGACATAGTAGGCGAGGATGAGCCTACCCATGGGCGTTTATACCAAAATGGGTGCGCTACGGACCCCGGCTCCTCGGCAGAATCTGGTGCTGAGTTTGACTCCTCAGAGCCAGACTCCTCGGGGGAAAGCGAGAACAGTTTCTGCGCAGACGCACCGCCGTCCAGGAAAGCGCAGAACAGTTCCGTTAAGCCTCCCTACTCCTACATTGCCCTGATCACCATGGCCATCCTGCAGAGTCCGATGAAGAAGCTGACGCTGAGTGGCATCTGTGATTTCATCAGCAACAAGTTTCCCTACTACAGAGACAAGTTCCCCGCTTGGCAGAACTCCATCAGGCACAACCTCTCCCTCAACGACTGTTTCATTAAGATCCCGAGGGAGCCTGGGAACCCGGGAAAAGGTAACTACTGGTCTCTGGACCCTGCCTCAGAGGACATGTTCGACAACGGCAGCTTCCTTCGCCGAAGGAAGCGGTTCAAGAGAAACCACCCAGAGCTTGGCAAAGACGGACTTATGTTTTATTCCAACTTGAACTGCTACCGGCCGTACGGGCAGCCATACTGCGTGCAGGGCCAGGTGAGCCCCCCGCCCGCCGCTCCTATCCCGTACATGCCCCTGCAGGAGGGCATCATGATGCCCCCTTCTCCCTATCACCTTCTACCACAAACTCTGAACAGTCACGGGAAGTGCAGTGGGCCAAAAGACTTCAGAGCGCAGCTGTGCTCAACAGAAACCGCCCAGTCAAAGCCTGGCCCGCAGAGAAAGTGCTCCTTCAGCATTGACAGCATCATGAGCAAACCCTCGCCCACCAGTCTCCCGACCCCAAACCCACAGCAGAGACGCCACAGCGCTCTTGGGTACGCTCATCTCATGTCGGGCCCTGCTGCCTGTTTGGTTCCGAGGCTCCTGCCGGCTCCCAGGACTCCATTCTGCCCCCCTACCATGCTGAGCACTGCTTCTTTAATAAATGAGCACCTCAGACTGTCCTACCCTCACTGCTGAAGCCTTTGGCCACAAGAAAACTTTACAGTGTCCGTATGTTCGATGCTATGTGAAGACACGTTGTGTAGCTCATTTCTTAAAGAAATGTTTTAATTGCATGATATTTATGTGCGTTGACATTCAAAGGTATGTCTTAAAAGAAATCAATGTAAATAAGATGAGTGGTAATATATTTGTGAAACTTGTTGCAGTGGCGACTCTCGTTGATGAATCTGTTTTTGTTATTAATTAACGTGTCGAAATAAATGTTTGAAAACTATCTGTGATGTTTGAAGCTCTTTATTTGGTTATTTGAATTAATTAATGCTGTTTTGTGTCCATTTGTCATCTTAAGAATGACGCATCAGTTGTCTCAGGGTGCGGGAAGTTTAGAAAGTCTTAGTCTCCTAATTCGCACTATTTCATTATTATAGTAAATGTTTTTATTAAGAGTTTGTTATTACAGACCTACATCCCCCCAGTCAGATATACCCACTTTCGCTGTTGTTTGTTAATAATAATAATTTAAAGACTTTTTTTAAAAGTCGACCTCTTCCTAATTCCCGGTTAAACACCGGTTTACAAAATCTGGCTGTTATGATCATGTAATAGCCTAATTGAGATAGAACAATGAAAAAAACTTTTAAAAAAAATTGCGCATAAATAAGAATGATGCCAGGTCAAAACTTGGCATCATTCTTTTAGCAAAAGTTCCGGTTGCTAAATTAATGAAACTGATCAAATAAATAATACCTTAATGATGTACTTAAAAAAATGAACGTCCATATTTATACACATTCTTTACAGATGTATGTCTCAGGGAAACATAAATGTGTGCCTGTCGCAACCACCACGACTCCATTTCTCAAAATTAAGAACAAAACAAAAGTCATGTTCCACACAAAATTAAAAAACAAAAGAAATGTCTGTTCCGTTATTATTTAGTCCTACTTTCTATTAGTTATGTGGGATTTACATTACAAGCGCTCTTTTTAATTTCTAATAAAACTTCAGTTCTTTCTTCCTGCCTCAAGGTCGCGCTGTTTACCAAATATTGGCTCAGACTGACGCAGACGTCTTGTGGGGGCCTCCCTCACCCCTGTAATGGCATGGCAAGCTAATAATTGCAGTGTCACAGATTCAATACATGTTTGCATTTAAACGCTATATGCCCCCAAACTGAAACTGCAGCAGAAAGAGAGATGTGGTACTGAAGACCCTGAAACAAATGTGGTTCAAATAAGAAAAAAACGTTACTATTAGGGAGTGAAGTTCTGCTTCATATCCCCCACTTATAGACTCCTCCAGTTACTCCAGCCCCGGCTTATGGCTTCATACCGGGCAGTGGCAACAGCACAGACACAGGCAGTGTCCGGTTGCTGAGCGGTCCCGACACAATTCCCCTCTGCCATCAGTCAAAGGTCTATTTTTGGCCCGAGGCTCAGCTGATTGTGGGCCTTGAAGATTCTGGCCCTCCCTGATGTCTTTTTTTCTTTTTTTTTCTTGTAGTCAGTTGTTCAGGCTTATTAGGAAAAGAGGGAGTTGTCTAACAGCAGCGGAGAGTTTTGCTGAATGTTAAGTTCAGCACTGAGGGATGCAGCTCTAACATAAGTGGCCGAGGTGAGGACATTTTTGACTGGGTGTTTCCTTTCATTACAGTCACTTTCATCCCTGTGTGGGGCGGCCACTCTTAACTTCACTTTACAGGCGGACAGGCTCCATCTCTGGGCTGTGAATTCGCCACATTACTGCTACTTTCACCTCCGTGGGACGGATACCACCAGAAGCAAACTTCCCAAACTAACTCAAGGTTATTTGATCCGCGTCCCTCCCGTTGGGTCCCGACGAGGAGGATGGAGACGAGCCCCATCCCGGTGCTGACGGTCCAAACGGCCCCCTTTGAGGACCAGCGGCCTGGTACCAACGGGCTGCGGAGGAAGACAGCGGTGTTCGAGGGGAAGAAGAACTACCTGCAGAACTACATCCAGAGCGTGTTGTCCTCCATCGACCTGCGGGACCGACAGGGCTGCACCATGGTGGTGGGGAGCGACGGCCGCTACTTCAGCCGAGCTGCCACCGAGGTGATAGTGCAGATGGCAGCTGCCAATGGGGTAAGAAGGAAAGGGGGGGCGACAACCGGTCTTGGCATACAGAGGCTGTCATGCATTTGTTCTATTACATCAATATATTGGAACCACTTCTACCCATGCATAAGAGAAACTAACATTCATATACAGTGGTATTGTTACAAATAAACATTTACTACATTAAAACCCAAAAGGTAAATCCAAGTGAGATTTTTTTTGCTGCTTTTCATTGGAGAACAAAGATTGTACATAAACTTACCAAGAATGAGTCTGAATGTTTTACATATAAAAAGTAATCACATGTCATGTCTATCAATGCTGTAGCCTAGTGATTCCCAACCTGGGGTCACAAGATGAATCTAAAAGGTCACAAGTGTCGGAAATAAGAAAAAAACAATGTACTGTCAAACAAAATTAAGTTTTTTGTTTGTTTGTTATTTCTAATATTTGCCTTTTATTCGTTAAATGGTGTATATTTCTTACACCAGGCCTTTAAAACTATTAAAATAAAAGTCTAAAAAGTGAACAAATTCCAATTAACTACTCACAACTTGGAGAGCACCCAAGCTTTGTATGAAGAGGTCACAAGCAATAAAAGGCAGGGTGTATTGCTATGACCTAAGCAAGAACAGTGATTAGTACCCAACATATAATTTATTAGGCTGACACATTTACTCTCAGCAGAAATTGTTCCACTGCTTCTTAAAAAAACATAGTAGGACTTTGTTTCTTTTCTGGCAGAATATTAAATCAGAATTTTATAATTGCATTACATATTCACATATTGCATTAGAGTTGGTCCACATTTGTTTAGCATTACACAGTCATATGACATATCACGTTAGGAGCATGCAGTTACTCCCGAAACACAAGAGTTTCAGAAGTCAAGGTGAAAGTATTAATCTGCAGTATTAATACATACAAACTTGTCACCCACCCAAACTGTGTCTGAACTCTTTAAATGTCAGCAGCAGATAACTGAAAATAGGAAGACAGAGTGAGCGAGAGGAGGAAAATCCCCACAGCTCATTTAAAACGCTTGCTCTGAGATCCTTGTGATTGGTTTGGACAGGTTCCAAAGGAAAATCTGAAGGGAATATAATTTGTTTTTGAGATCGGCCCATTTTTTCTGCTCGCCAAGCCAAATGTCTCTTGATGTCGGCCTTATCAGCACTTCCATCCATCCTGCTCTATTTTCCTGCCTACGTATGTTCCCCCCTCTCTTGCTGTTCCACCTCTCCCGGGCCAAACACTATGGGGATCCCCTGTCATATTGCAGTGAACCAAGAGTCAGGATACTGGCAACACTTGCAGATAACCTATCCCATGCACAGACTATCCTTCTTACGCTAGTTACTGAATAAGATAGTGGTGGAATAACAGATTGCTTTATACATGTTCTTAGGTTATTACACACAACACAATGCAGGCTAAATATATTTTGGCAAGAACATTTCTTAGGGTTTTCCCTCACTTTCCTTGTCTGTTCTTCATATACACATGCAACATGCCGGATGTTAGGAGGGTTCTCTGACGTCAGGAGAATGAATTCCTCTCCAGTGAGGACACTTTTATTTAGAATAGCTGATATGCAAGGGAATTATGGGAAGCTGGTGGTATTACTGCTTTAAAAGTAGCATACAAGTTATAAATAGAGATTTCAGCTCAGTTATTCGGGCACCCTCTTGGGTCGGATCATTTTCGCTGTTTAAAGCAGGCTGTCAATTAGTCACCTGTGGAAGGATGAGATGCCTTGGGCCAGTGTTGCTTTCAGTTCCAGTTAGACCGATGGGCTCATGAACTTTTTTGAGAACAGTGTTTTGTTTTGTTTTTTGATTTTGTGTCACAGCCAGCCCAAAGGCAGCTAGAAAGCAGTCCCCCTAAACCTTCATCTTATGAAACAAGTTTACCAGAAAGCATTATTCTGGATTGATGTGCAGCTGACATTGTTCCTCATTAATATCTGTGCTGTGCAGATTGGTCGTCTGGTAATCGGCCACAATGGCCTCCTGTCCACCCCTGCTGTTTCCTGCATCATCAGGAAGATCAAGGCCATCGGTGGGATCATCCTCACAGCTAGTCACAACCCCGGAGGCCCCGGTGGAGACTTTGGAATTAAGTTCAATGTGGCAAATGGAGGTGAGGACTGACAAAGAGTGCTTGTTTTCTGATTCTCCCACTTCCTTTTGAGAGCATTTGTAAAGTAAAGGAATCTTTTTTTTTTTATCAGACATAAATTACTGTACACATGCGTATGTCTTTGTTTGTGTGGTAGGCCCATCTCCGGACACAGTGATGGAGAGGATCCACCAGGTGAGCCGGACGCTCGAGGAGTATGCAATCTGCCCCGATCTGCGCATTGACCTGTCCAGGCTGGGAAGGCAAGAATTTGACCTGGAGAACAAGTTCAAACCTTTCAGAGGTACAATACTCACTCACTTGTCTGTCAAACAAAATAGCCAACTCAAATAAGGCATCCCTCAGAAAGGGTATAATTTGTAAGTATTGCCTTTGTAAATGATTAATAATTTGTTTACTATTTTTTATAATTTATAAGCCAATAATTAGAAAGAATTGTCAGGTTGTTTAAAAGCTATTTGATTGGTCAAACAGTTTACTTGATGAACTAAAGAGCTAAAGGGATTTTTCACAACCTGGCAACCAAATGTTTTTCTTGTTAATGGATTAAAGCTAATCTTTAAAGAATTACTAAATAATTTATTAACTATTATAAAAACATTAGTTCCAGACAAGTACATGCTTTGTCAAAACATTTCTGCCTAATCTGTTATGTCAAATTAGAAATCACCAATATTATAAATGAGGAAGAACAGTGGCTTGTTCTTAAGAGCATCCCTAGAGGTAAATGAAGTATAGTCCATCAATACCTTTAGTTGCACATTTTACCTATAAATAATCATTATTTACGCACACAATTGAATGCCCTGGAAGCATTTGCACAACCTTTCTATCTTTAAGGCACAAATGCATACAAACCATCTCATTGCCATCTGGCACTAACCGTCTCTTATCTGTGCTTCCAGTGGAGATCGTAGACTCTGTTGAGGTGTATCTACAACTGCTGCGAAACATCTTCGACTTCAATGCCATTAAAAGTCTCCTCACAGGCCAGGATCAAGTCAAGATACACATAGATGCCATGAACGGAGGTAAGACAATTCATCACCTGCCTAATATAGCCCCTGAGCTGTTTTGAGTGTTATTGGAGATTAAACTGTTCTTCCTTTCTTCTCCTTGTCTGTCCTGGTGTTGTGTTACAGTGATGGGCCCCTATGTACGTAGGATCCTGTGTGATGAGTTGGGAGCTCCTGCTAACTCTGCTGTCAACTGTGTCCCTCTGGAGGACTTTGGTGGCCGACCTCCAGAGCCTAACCTGACCTACGCCACCTCTTTGGTAGATGCCATGAAAGGAGGTGACTTTGGCTTTGGAGCTGCATTTGATGCAGATGGGGTAAGATACCTGATGCCTAAGTGAGGCTTAAAGTCCTCCTCCACTCAAAAAAGTGTTTTGCCATTTGTTGCTTCTCTTGGATTTTTAACTTTCACTTCTCAGAATGATGTATGTGAGATTGACATTATAAGACTGTTTTCACATTTATTTGCTGAAGAGGGAAAGTTTCTCACCTTAAATCTGAGTTTAACACATGGACGTACATGATGATTTTGTGATGTCAAATCTAGTTTTATGGTCCAATATTCAACTTAAAATCCAGTTTATTATTATTATATTTACTGTATTTACATACCATGGGATTTCCTGGGTTGTGATTGGTCACTCAGCAATACTTTCATTAAGGATTTTTTATTAAGTTCAACTAAAGCCATATGATTTAGACTCCACCCATAGATACCAGAGAGAACCTTATTTATTTTTTATTTATTTTTTGTTTGCTCATTGAAGCAGAGAAGAAAGGTGATGGGGCTTGAATAATAGTGTGTCCAGGTGTTACAAGAGCTCCTTTTTCATCCAATAGTCATTTCTACTGTATACACACACACACACACACACACACACACACACACACACAGCCTTTGCTAAGTAAATTAACTTAGCATCAGGAGAATTATGTCATATCTGCTCTGTGTCTCCCACCAGGATCAGTATCTTCACAGTCATTAGCACCAGCGGCTGTAATCTTCTATCTTTTTTATGGTCGCTGTTACATAATAACATAACCAATATCTACCAAACTGCAAACAGTAATCATAATGGTTGGGAAAAAGAATTTTAACTTAATTGTGTCGTATTGTTTTGTACAGCAGAATTACCAATTCAATTTGACTGAATTTGATGGCAACACAATGGCTATGCTGTGCGAGTGTTAGTTCAAAGTGTAAATCTGGTGTTATTCTGATATTCTTGACAGTTGCGAGATATATGGAAGATCACCAGCCTTATTCTTTGGTATCGCCTACAATGCTAAATCATTCAAGTCTGATTGCAGTCCTCTTTACATTATTAAAATAGTTACATGAGCTGACACATAATGTACTTTATCTTGTGTTGTTGTCAGGACCGGTACATGATCCTGGGGGAAAATGGCTTCTTTGTGAACCCGTCAGACTCAGTGGCCATCATGGCTGCCAACCTCTCCACCATCCCCTACTTCAGACAGCTAGGAGTCAAGGGCTTTGCAAGGAGTATGGCGACCAGCACCGCCCTTGACAGGTACAACACGCTCTTCTAAACACCCTTCTACACACAAACACACACACACACACACACACTCAGTAGATCTAAGGGGTTTTGCCTTCTCTTGTCACACCACCACAGCCTCTCTCCACAAACTCCTGCAGCAGCCCATTCTCTGGAGAGGGGTGACACTCTCAGATGAAGACGCACCCACTATGAATAAGACTGTGAGGTCACATACACACAACCCCCCCAAACACATTTACTCACCATCTATAAATATTGTCTGTTATGTAAGAATAGAACCACGCCGATGGTGCTGAGTGAGAGGATGTGATCACAGTTAGTCATCCCCATTAACATTGTTCCAGTAGGAGGGATCCCAGCACCCCACTAAAGCTTCAACAGAATGCAGCTCAATGGAAATGTGTTATTTAATACAATGAAGGAACCAGAAAAGATCAGCTATTGTTAGTTCAGATTGTATTTCAGAGTATTGTCTTCAACAAGTTAAGATAAATTCCAAGTGTCCACACACTTAGTCATTTAGTTTTCCTAAAACCATAAAATCTATTCAAAACATATTGTGTTTTTGTGTGTGCCATCATATGTGTCACAGTGTGTGTGTAGCTGTGTATGCAACTTTAGCTATTAAGAATTGTATTCATAAAAACATATTTTGCATTATTTAAATTACGCAAGTATATTTTTGGAGGAAAATATTGATGGTTTTCACTTTAAAAAAATACTTGGCAACTGAGTGGATGAACTATCTGTCTATCATTGTCTATCTCGGGTGAACTTTGACCAGTAAAAGCATCAGACCATATAATGTCGCCAGTTGGTGCGGTACCACCGTACTGGCCATAAATGCATAGATTTAAGCTTAGATGGATTCTTATGTGATCTTCTGAGTCCAGCTGCTTCACAGGGTTAATTGAACACTGCCAGGAAATATACCAGTATATCTCTAACCAGAATATAGAATGTATGATCAGGAATCATAGGTTGACATATACAGAAAGTGTCTGTATGACAGTCTGTCTTTGTGTGCATATGCTTGAGTGTGTGTGTGTGTGTGTGTGCGCATTAGTGTGTGTGCATTAGTATGTGTTAGCACTGGCAGACATTAAGGAAGTGACCTCACTGCTAATCCTGATCTCTGGGTTTCACAGTTACAAAACGGGAAAAGTGGTGCTTACTGTTGATATATGAAGTGGGATGTTACATCACAGAATTATTGGTCATTCTTGTTAGTGTAGAGACTCCTACAGAATTGGTCATGCAAACACACACACACACATACACATCATTTGGATTGTGTGGTGCTTTTTGCCTAAGGCTGCATCTTATGATGTTGAACCGTAATGATCACACTGAAAGAGCTGCTTGGAAGTTTTGCTCACGCTGGTTCCCATGTCTCGCCTCATCACACACACACACACACACACACACACACACACTGACTGAGCCCTGAGACCCAAATGTCACATGTCCCTCTACAACTTTGAGCCATGGACCTCTAATACAGCAAACACGCTTACACAATGTAGATTAAATGGCCTTTTCATTAGTTACCACAAAAAATATCTCCTTCATCTCCCTTTTTTCTCAGCATTTGCCTTTTTGTCTCGATGATAACATAAATTTAATTTCCTGGAAACGCTAACTTGGTTGTGCAATCTGCTGAGAAGTGGAATTACCTTACAATATGATGTCTATTACAGATAATACTTTAACTACAGATAATATCATGCTTTGGGCTCTGAAGAGCTTTGTCAGAAATAAATTGCGTTATATAAGATTTTCATTTGTTCCCTGTTAAACTGAATTTCACCAGCATACTAGGGTATGAGCTCTTATGCAAAGCACACATTCCTCTTCTATGAACACTTAACTGATAATTACTGGCATTGTTGCAGGACAGAGTCGCTTTGTTCAACTCTTAGCTTCATAATCGCCACTTAAGTTCCTAACGTAACTTTGCTCCTCTTTGGACACATAATGTACATATCTGCATGTCTTTGACAAACTCCAGGAAGTGTTGAGGTACTTAGTAGCATAGTGTCGGACTCTGGAGTGGGCCCAAGCGTAGGCCTTTTTAGGAGAGCAAGTGGCCTGTGTGTGTGTCTGTTTAGACTGAGCAACCCTCCCTGCTGTGTGTTTATGCGTAGTCAAGCAAACTGTGTTATAAAAGCCTTGATAAATGTGACGGTGTATATACTGTATGTAGCTGCGTGTGTCCAGAGAGAATTTGAGAAAACAACAGATAGAAAGAGAATGTATTTGTGTTTAGATGAGTAGAGGATGTTTTGTTGTGCAGGATTTAGATTCAGGTGGACAGGAGGCCGAAGTTGTTCAATTTTTCATTCTTGGGTAGACTGGGTAGGGTGTTTGTCTTGTTGTTGTGTGCATGGGTGCCTGCGTTTGTGCGCATACTGTAAGCAAGGGCTGATGCAGGGAGGGAGGGGAAAGAGGGAGAAATTTTGGTAAAGGAAACATCTGCCTCTCCTTTAACTGTTCCAGGGATAGGAGGATGTAAGGAGAGGAGAGGGCTTAGCCACTGGTGTGCCTGTTACCAGGATAAAGTCCAAGTTCTTGTACTGAATCACTAATTAGCACTGCAAACTAGAGCGGTCAAATGTTTAATGTGGTGCTGTAGCTGAACAGTTTTTTTTATTGTTGGCTGTGAAGATGACCAAGGCAATCAGAAGACTGTATTGTCATATACTGTACATGTGTATGTATGTGTATATATATATATACACCTCCTGGTAACTGCAGAACCCCCCGAGGTGCCCCTGGTTTGGATTAACCTTTAAGAAACACTGTGTCTAATGCCAACAAGACCTTACCAGACCAGTTTAGTTGGGCTGGACTTGTGTTCCCACAAAAAGCTGCCAAGGTTTAGTTCATTTATAGTGCTGAAAAAAACCTACTAAGAAAAAATGTGAAATGCTGTCATCAGGCTGAGAGTGTTGTGTTATACACCAATATTTTGATAGGAAGCAAGGTGCAAAAGATAGCCAAGTTCAACATAGACAAAACAAGTGCACTTTTCCCCCATATTTAATAATATACGATGGTAAATATATTTTTGACACAGCTTTGGAAAAGCCTTGAAAACTTTTGAACTGATGTCAGAAAGGTATTTTCATATTGACTGCAGACAAAAAATGTAGGTTACAGCTTCTGCCATTTACAGAAATCATCTCAACTTTGATTTAAGTTCTTTATTCTCAAGCATTTTCTGTGTTGGCCACTATGGCAACATCATATGTGTTGTCCAGTGAGAAGTCCTGGTTCAGGTCAAGAAGAACTCACATTGCAAGCCCAAGTAAAGCTCCAGCATGCTACGCTTTTGTCTGAATGCCAGTGCAAAGCTTTTAAGTCCAGGCTGAGCTCTCTTCAGAGGGGGAGGTGAGGAAAGAGGGCACTGGGTGCTATGTTTGGGTAAAATATCAAGCCAAGGCCAAAAGCTGGCAATATTTCACTTTGCAGATGTAGAGAGACCTCATCCCTCACATTACTCCCCAGTATTTACTAATGCATGAGACAGATATATACAAAGATAGAGACGGTGAGAAAACAAAGGAGATGTTGGTTGATTAGTGTATGTATGTATGTGTTTATTGTGTGTGAAGTCGTATTTAAAGTGTGTGCATACATTTGTAATCCTGAGCTGAGGATGGTGACAGGTAGCTGGCTGAGCCTGGTTATGAAATCTCTGTCTGCCCCTTCACCTTATGGGGGCAAAGCATCCAAATCATTCACATGACAGACCTTTTCAACCTCTGTTCAATTTTATTTCAGTTCATTTCTTACAGTCAGGACAGGTATTGCAAAAGTCTATTTTTTTCATGGTAGCCTCTACTGTTCCATCCACCAAGATAAATGTACCAGACATCTTACAAGTTATTAAAGCAAGCACATTTTAGAAATGTAGTGTAATTAAAAGTCTAAAATCTGGCACACTCCAGCCTCCATGTATCCTTAAGTCAAAAACATACATTGTTTAAGGACAAAAATATGCCTTGGTTTTAAAATTCAAGACTGTCTTTGAATTTTGTGCCTTGAACCTGCATTGTACTTGATAATGGCACTTGACCAGACATGCACTCTTTATGTAAAATCTGCCTGTTACTTGTGTGAGAAAATGGACATCGATGCACTGTAAAGCTGTACAGTCGAGAGGTCACACCTCCACACAGGGGGATTACAGCCCTAAATAGAAAGCTGCCAAGTTTATTCCTTGTGTCTCCAGTCATATTCATCTGCCAGCATTTCTCTGTTTTGGCAAAGCCTGTGGAGAGAGAGACAGCATTCACAGAGCCTGGCTGGCCTGAGAGTGTACTATATCTGTTTAAATATGTGTTTAATTATGATTGAATATATTTGCTTCCATTGCTCGACTTGAAGAAGTGTGTAATAGTGGATGTAAAACTAGAAAAAAAACTTGACTGTTGTTGATTGTTTTAGGAATGTCATATCATAAGAGCTGAAAAAAGACTATGAAGAACTAGTTTGTTGATTGTGCTTGTCTGTATCTGTGCATGAAGGCTATGTATGGGTTTGTTTTTTCCATCCCAGTGCTGTTGTTCAGTTAAGGCTCAGCTGGTGCAATCATCAAACTTGAGAAAACATGATCCTTACTATTCTCACACAGTTTTGTCCCTACAGTTTTGCAACACTGTTTGAAAAGTGAGCACTGGTAGGGTCAACTTCAGTGCTTATGTTGGCTGTGGACGTGCCGTTTGAAACGTCAAAGGCTCATCAGAAGGCCAGAGTTTCTGTTTTCTTTTAGGAATGCCAGGCTTTCCGTTCCAGCTCTCACTTCCCCAGAGGGGAATAAAGTTGGTTACTCTTATTTGGTAATTCATCCTATCCTCATGTAAACAACTGTACTGGGCACAGTGAAGTTTATTTATGTGCATGATGATTGTGTGGATGTGTACCATCACTTAAAAACCCTGAAGCCCACCCACATCCACATATATCGCACTGTGCATTCCCACAGTACAAGTACTTGAGATAGTCATTTCTACATGTTTGTTTCTTTGTGACCAACAACTGTTTTGTTGCACTGAATATTTTATCCAGCAATTCATAGCCGAGTCCTGGGAATTGTGTTTACATTTTGCGGTGGTTACTGAGGAGGTGTGGATGATGTGGTTGAGCAGTGATTTGTGGGGAACGGGAAGGACACTGGCTATTCATCTTTGTTGCTAACAACTCTGCAAGCAGGCTTGGAATGTTAACTTTCACAATAAAATACTGTATTATAGAGGGTGTTTTATCACTGAACCATGTTAATTTGGTTCTTTGTTTATAGTCTTTTACTCTGCTGAAAGTTAAAATATAAGCACCTTGTGATTTTAATGACCGAACAATTACTGTTTTATTTAGCATTCAACAACTACAGCTATAATGAGTAGTGCCGGAATTTTAGGAATATTGAGGTCAGGAGTCTGGGGAAAACCCAACCCCTTTTTTGATTTTGATGAAACTCTATGTCAAAGTTCTCAGTGCCAAGATCAGATTATTTTAATTACTGCTGACTTTGTTTGTTATTCAATATTATTATTTTTAATATTTTTATTATAGAATTTGTGTCCAAAAATCTTTTCTAAAAATGTACTGATTGTAGTGCTTTTATAATCATGTTACTGTAATGCCATTATACTCAACCAGTTAATTGTCTGTAAATTTACACTGAAAAGTTGTATTAGACTCTTTTCCCCTCTAGTCTGTTTCTTTGCACTCCCTCTCCTCCCACATACAGTACACATACAGTATATTCACATATATACGCACACACTCCTTCTCCTCCTCTCCCTATGTGAGCACATGGCTCAGGTTCAAAGCAAACATCAGTTAAAAGGTTAACTCACTTTGTTCTTGCAGCATTTGCCTTATTAAGTTATTGGATGAACTGCTGGCACATTACGCTTGTCATACAGCATTTGGTTCGCTTCATTTCAAAGGTCAGAGGATTGTTTGTAAGCTAATCTCTGTATAAGAACTAGGAATGGATGGCATTCGATATTATGGAGAGGATGTGTGTTTGTGAGCATAAACTATTAGCTTTGTTTTTGTTTCTCTCTTTCTCTCTGTATGTTTATAGGGTAGCCAAAGCCATGAAACTGGCGCTGTATGAGACTCCCACAGGCTGGAGGTACTTTGGGAACCTGATGGATTCTGGGCGTTGTTCCCTCTGCGGGGAGGAGAGCTTTGGGACAGGTACAATCTGTTATGCTACAGCACACTCACTCACTATCCAAACAACACAGATTCGTGGATACTGAATGTCATCAATACAGAAAACCGATAAATACAGATACAAGAAGCAGCTTGTTAGAGTGTGAAGAGAAGGTCACTGATTCGAATCCCTGGACCAACTTGGAAAATGTGACTGGGTGTGTGACTGAGAAATCCCCTCCCCTCAGCAACTGTTGGTGAGGTGCCTGCAAACAAGGCCACCACTAGAGAACGCACAGGCCAGCTGCTGCTAACTGTGAATGTGTATTAGAGACTTGCTGAAAAACTCTGACAGCAAGTGTGTCCAATCAACCTTCCCTCGGAATTAAAGGGAAATTGCAATTTATTACAGCATGAGTCTTATGTTTTTAGTTCTGGCCATCATAAATATTATCATAACGTGATACTCATCAAAGTGATTTGTGAACATGGTGAAGTCCAGTGCAGAAACACAAGTGGTTAGACGATCAAACAGATTGTAAGCAGGCGTTTAGATGGGTGGATTGGTCGGTTTAAATAAGATCCAGAAAGCCCAGTATGAGGAGAAGATCCACTGGTTTGAAAGCAAATCAAATGCCAAAGAACTCCAGAGCGGTTTGAATAAAGACAGTATTTTACAACTCTGGAAAGTTATTATGGTGTAAATAATTTTTGTCTTTGAGGAGCAGTGTGGCATTGCCAAATGACATTGCATTGCACTGCAGCAAAGTTTGAGCCAGATTCAACTTTTTGCTGGAAAACAACAAGTTTTTACCTTTGTGTCAACATGCTTTCATTGAAATGACTGAGGGGTTGTGTTTTTTATGCAGTGCTAATGTCTGTTTGGATACAGCTTAAAGAAGTCGGCAATTTAGCCGAGTCAGTATTTGTAGGTAGTAATAATAAATAATCAAAAATAATCCCTCATTGCACAGAAAACCAAGTCCCTTTCATTTATATAGCCTAAAAGCTTTACAAATTGTACAGCATATGACATCTTGTATCCGGAGGCCCTTGGTACAGTAGTGTGTAATAATTTAACTGATTATCTTCAAAATAGGTTTGTTGTTTAAGGTCCAGTGTGTAACATTTAGGAGGATCTAGTTCTAGTAGCATAAATGTAATATAATACTCATAGGTATGTTTTCACGAGTGTATAATAACCTGAATATGGGAATCATTGTATTTTCTTTACCTTAGAATGACCTGTTTTTTTTCCATGTAGTCCGCCATGTTGAACTGCCATTTTTCTACAGCAGCCCAGACAGACAAACCAAACACTGGCTGTATATAGGCCATTTATCGTTTTTTCCCCGGGTTTTGCAGCCACCGTAGTTTCTCCTTCACACTTCACCTCATTCCCAGGTTGTCAAATACAAATGCCAGTGGTGTTCAGTTAGTTGTACTCTGCAACTACACCACTAGATGCCACTAAATCCTACACACTGGAACTTTAAGCCTGCCTCGTCTGACTGCTTATGTTTCTTGCCATTTGACTTCTTTTGAGTGTTTTTGCCACTTTCCCAGATCTCAGCAATTAACCTGTGGCATACAATGTTATTATTACTAACAGTAATGATGACCAGAGCTACAAAAATAACATCCAAGTGCTTATGAAATCACCATTTCCATTTAAAGGTAAAATAAAATCTCAATTCCCTTCTCTTCCACACCCGCCTGTTTCAGTCTAGAGCTGTAAGCAGTGCATCCTGACTGCCTGTAGCTCCAGTCAGAGACGTGTAATAGATGTGAGGGCTGTGACCCTGACTGCATGTGTAAATAATCCCCATTCTTCTGCTATAAAAGGAGACAGGGGCTCCCTGAATCGCTTCAACATGCAGACAGGCCTCCAGTGGCAATGTTTTCTATGAATGCAAATGCACACATACACAGTCAGAAAATATAAATAATGTGCATGCTTTTGCCCTCCCTTTACATCTGCCTTTCCTCGCTCCTTTTTCTACTACCCATCTCTTCTTTTTCTCCATGTTTTTAGCTGTCTCCCATTTTAATTTCAGTTTTATCTGTCCTTTTTTCATTTTTCTTTGGTTTTTCCTCCTCTCCTGTACCAAATATTTTAATTGAAGATGAAATCTAACATTTAAAACAGAGGAAACAACACAGAAAAAGCTCTAAGTGAGAATAAAAATGTTAGCGGGTGTGAACAAGAGAAGAGAAGCTTGTAGCAGAGGGGGTTTGGAGAGTCCAAATATGAAAAGTATTGACGAGGAGGAGAGAAATGGAAGCAGCAGAGAGCACAGAGGACTATTGGAGCTTTCTCATTGTCTACCCATGTAAGGCCAAAAGCTCAGAGAGAGGTCTGAGTAGTAAATCATCAGAGCTGTACACCACTCCCGCTCAGACACATTCAGCATTAACTATTGCAATTGTTAATTTAGCCAGTTTTGTCAAACTTTAATAATTTTTTTTTTTTTGTACTTTGATTATTCCCTCCTGGTTTGAAAATGAATAATACCAGCTTTGGAATTTAAAAGGCATTGCGCACAACATAAAGTTTAATGAAAAAAAACATTAGCTAGCAACACATAAAAAACGAAATATTTTCTGCTTATCATTGTGTGTATAATATCCCTTCCGCACAATCAGTCAAAAATCAGTCTCTCCAAAAACATTGGAATATCCATACCACTGGTTTTAGGACTGCCTTGTTCCAACATTAGGTAATAACTCTTTTTTAAACAGTGATAAGTTGTTGAGCTGAAAAGAGAGGTTTTAATTATGACGTATTTTTTAAGCGTAGATGGAAAAGTTCTGGTGCGCTTTGGTGATCTAATTATTAGATTTGTACATTCTACTAGGTGACCCCTCTGTCTGTTTTTGTGTCAGAGAACAAGACAAAGGAAGACAGACAGTGAGGCAGAGATTAATAATGACAACTGTTAGTTTCCTAACAGCTGTATACTGCTACTAGAGCCGGACACAGAGCGAGGAAGAACACCTCTTGTTTTCAGTGTTTGGTGGAGAAAAGAAAAGCATTGTGTATGCTATAAAACAGATATAATGACGCCATCAAGTTTTTCTCATAAAATAAATGTACATGTAACTCACAATGATACCAAACAGTTGAGTCCATTTTCTGCTCCACTCTCTGCCGTGGAAACATTTCTAACATATTCAATCTTACTAAAATGTCAAAGTGTCCCCTTAACAGATACCTTTACTGTGCAGCTGTTTTTGAGAACAGACTGATTGCTCCCCAGTGAAGGAGACTGATCAAGGGTGTGAACTATTCCTCCATTTGTGTGTATGTGTGTGTGTTTCAGGGTGGGGAGCAGGAGATATAATTTGTGTGGGGATGTTTGGTGCGTCTCCAAGCCCAAGCACTCTTCCTGACCTTCTGTTACAAACAGTAGAGTTGAATACTGGGCTAAATGGAACTATATTCTATTTGCTTAATGCAACCTGTGGATCAATAAAAGATTGTTTGAACAAAAATGTTAATAATTCCCCACTATGGTCCTGCAGAAATGTATGTGTTATTTCTTTGACATTTTGAGAAATGCACTTGTTCGTTATCTTACTGTGATTTAGATGATAAGATAGATACCACTGTCATATCTGTCTTTTAAGTGTGGAGTTGGAGCTAGGTAGCTTAGCTTAGCATAAAGACTGGAAACAGGGGTAAACACCTAGCCCGTTACCTCTAAAGCTCAACTATCACATTATGTCTTTTATTTTTTTTAACAAGAAGTTATATGCTGGATTATTGCTTGACTAGTAGCAGTTAAGCTAGTTGCTTCACCTTTTTTTCCAACCTTTGTGCTAAGCTAAGCTAACAGGCTGCCAACCGTTTTTGGGATGTCTTGCATGACTTCTTTCTGCTCCAGGTTCAGACCACATTCGAGAGAAAGATGGCTTGTGGTCGGTGTTGATGTGGTTGTCCATTATGGCCGCGAGGAAACAGGGTGTGGAGCAGATTGTCCGAGAACACTGGGCCAAGTTTGGACGTAACTACTTCTGCAGGTAAAAGGACTAAATAATCTCTCAGAATATGAAGCAGTCAACAAACTGTTTATTCAATCATTTATCTCTTAATTTCGCTATTCTTTCAATCATGGATCCATTTTACTTATTTGAATCTTTACATCTTGTCTTTATTTAAAGCCCTGAGAGTGACTTCAAGATTCCCTTTTCCCAAAAGTCTTAATCCCTTGTATCCCTACCAATGCCAAATATGTCTCCCAGGCCTTCACCTCCAGTCCTCCTTGCCACTTGTTCTTATTTTAACCTCTCCCCTGCGAGAGGCAGAGATAGTTACTGCAGTCAATGTTCCCACTGACAGTTGCTGCAGCTTTTCATGTTCCCACAGAGAGCTTTCCGAATCTGATGCAGATTTCCCACAACACGTAGATGGAGAGGACATACAGGACAGGTCAAGGCCCGGAGGCCAAAAAAAGTTCATAAAACATAAACATGTGTCACCAACAAATCATCCTGACAAACCTTGTCTCTTGCAGTTTAGGGGCAGTTTAAGTTCTATTGTAATACCATGAACTGGCTCTATTGGCTTTTTGTTGTTGATATGGCATAAGAGATTAAACCAACTTGGAAATTTGTGTGTTGGTGTTTGGCAGGTTTGACTATGAGGGCCTGGACCCACGTGCAGCTTTTTACCTGATGAGGGATCTGGAGACTGTAATCTCCGACAAGGCATTCACCAACCAGAAGTTTGCCGTAGGAGACCACATATACAGCGTGGAGAGGACCGACAACTTTGAGTACATCGATCCTGTGGATGGAACAGTGGCTCGAAACCAGGTCAGGTGGGGCTAAGAAAGGGGAGAAAATGGGAAAGAAAGAGAAATTAGAGGAGAGTATTGCTGCCATAATACTCATTTTATTATTTGAGAAGAAATAAAACCTGACATAGATTGACATATAGATTGACCTAATAGTTAAATTATAGTTCCTTGTTCTACTGTAGATATCTTTCTCATAAACTCTAAATCTAAACTAGGAATTAAATCTAGATCTAGATTTTTTTAAGATCTACTCATTTCAAATTCATGTTTCATGAGTAAAAGAAAAAATATAATGTCTTTGATTCCCAAATGATTAATGTTCATATTGATACACAACACTGGCATATCGCATATTTGACTGTACCTGCTCATCCTGCTAGAAATTTCTCACCCCCTGTTCCCCTGTTCTGCTTCAATGCTCCAATCATGTCTATCCTAATGTCTGTCCCTCACAAGATTATCACATTGTGTTGTATTATATTGTATTGTATTGTTGACCTCAGCAAGATTGGCCCCATGGAAACGGGGCCTGAAACATTTCTTTCAAAGCCTTCAGTTTGTTTTACTCTCTGTTAACTTATCTAGCTCCGAACATAGACCCTGTCTCTCTTTTAGTGGATGAGACAGTCCCGGAAGATCCCATGCTGCTCTTTAACAGAGATGTACATTTGCTTGTCCAAATTTGTTTTGGATTGTGGAATGGGCTCATCGTCGCCCCTTGTGGCCGTTTGGTGGTGGAAAATACCTTCTACTACTCTAGTTCTCACAAGCCGTCAAGTACCAGTGGGTGCTTTGTTGTATTTTTGAAGATGCAGTGTGCGTTGCTCATGTTATCAGACTGTGTGTGAGGTCAGGTCCCTGGGTTTTCATGGGGTCAGGTCTGCCCAAAGACATCTTAAGCATGCACACACACTCACACTAACACCTTCTCTGGGATCTCTTTCATACACATGCACTCACTCATCAGCCTCTTGAGAGCTAGACCACCCACTAAGCTTCAATGTTGTCTCATTAGAGAGGTTCCACGTTTGGACATGATAGTCTATCTTCCATTTCAAACCATAAACATATGCATACACATGTTACATACAGCACAAATCCCTACACACACTGATAACTCCCTCTGTCAGTATATCCTCCCTGTCCTCTCCCTCCCTCCCTTCCTCCCCCTTAATCTCTGTGAAGTTTACCCAGCTGACTCTCTCTGTTCTGCCCAGAAATGTGTGGAAACTCATTCCTGGCGTCAACACTTCTTTGCCTCTGCCCCACCTAATACCCCATACGCACGCACTGTGCATTTTGGTGTGTACTGTCCGTCATTCCAGTTGTCCCTGTATATAAGTGTGAACACATGCAAACACTTGCATGGCCTACACGTGTTCACATTTGTGTTTGCTGGCAAGGTTGTGCCTACAATTTGGTCGTCAAATTCACCTTATGCACCTTAATAGCAATAAAAGGTCTCGCTGTCCCACTTTGAATTACTCCACCATGTTACCATGGTTACAGCAGCTCCACAGCTAGTTAGTCAGTCACCCCAAAATGTGATTTAACCTCACTGGCAAATCCTCAGCATCCCAGTTGCCCCAGTGTGTATTATAACAGCACACATTCCTCCCAGGACAGAATTATATCAGCTGTCGTCTCACTTGCAGTGTGTTTGAAGGGAGAAAAGTTAGCACATGGACACGAACACACACACACACACACACACAAACACACAGGACAGGGCACAGGGGATTTACACAGCAGTGGCATGGCAGCCTTTTGTAGCCGACTACTGAATTCATTCTGCATTGTCTGCATATCTCTGACAAATAAACTGCGGATAGATGGATGGACGGATAGAAATCATTGGCACAGAGCCTATATATACCTAAATGCAGACAATGCACGCTTGTTATGGGTAATATTTGGAAAGTGCAGTACGAACCAACAAAATGTTTTCCCTGTACATTTTTACTTTGTTTTGATTATTTACAGTCCATAACTTGAAAATCTCTCTGTATTGCTTGCTGTCTGTCTGTCTACTATTAATATTCATATTGACTAATATAAAATTAAAACATAAATGTGATCTTCTTAGCTAGCTACTGTTAGCATGAGTTTTTTTTTCTCCATCAGGACTATGACTGTATTTAACTATGTGGAATAGCTGAATTACTAAGATTTCTGTTCATTAAATATACATTAAAATATATCTGTTTTTCATTTACAAATAACAGCTAGGGAACAAATTAGTTTTAGCTTAAGATAAGGCTAACCCTGGCTAGCTCACCAGCTAGTTATAATCTTGCTAGCTAGCATTATGTAACTAATGTTTGTTAATGTCGGCTGTGTCAGTGGGAGAGAGTCGTAGCCAGAATACAATAAGTTAGCTAGATACACAGCCAGGGTGCAGAAGGTTTGGCTTTTAGCTCGATTTTGTATTTGTCCTGCTACGAATTTAAAAAAAGCATACATTTATATGCCATTTTTCAAATCTATGTCAGCAAAACATCTCAAAAAGTCAAATTTAGGTCTTTACTCAATGTTTCATAAACATAACATAGGCAACAGCTATTGTGTTTTGCCTTTGTAGATAGACAGGGACAGACACAGTGTGGCTGGTATGTGTTCCACTCAAGGCCCCTGAGCTTTACAGCACACATTGTTTTTAACAGGCATTACTCAGCCTCCTGATAACTGCTACTCTATTGTTAGAGATGAGCTGCCACACTCACAAAAAGAAAGACAGACGGACAGGCGGACGGACATCTCTTATTATCGCTGTCTCTCCTCACCCGGATTTTGACGTGTTAAAATACTCCAGAGCCAAAGTCAGATTAGGAGGAAGGCGAGTGATCCAGCGTTACTTTTATTACCACAGTCTATAAACGATGAAGCTGAGTCACAGTTTTAAGAGCTATTGGTCTGAGATGGGGTTACTGTCGTGCAGGGATGGCGCACTGGGACATTTTTCTTGTTCATGCTTCTTGTTTTTTTTTTTTTTTTCTCAAAACATATTTCAGTTTTTTCCCCTGGGCTTGACTTTTGTTCTAATAGGATAAGGGAAGAGGCACTGTGGAATTTAGGACAGATAAGAGTCATCACACATCCATTAGTCAAAAAGTCTTATCTTCCTTACGTCAGCCAGCCAGAGTTGTAGATGGTTACCCCAATGCAACAATATCCTGTTTTTCCTGAAAATGCTGAGGTCAAGTTCCAAGAGTTAACAGTAGAGGACACTGAGTCCTTTTAAATGTGATGAGTTTTTTTGCTCTGGTTTGGTGTGAAATTGTTCTCAACTGTCAGAATCGTGAGGGACTTTGTGGAAATACAATCTCTATGAGCTTGTGTGTGATCTTTGAAATTAATTCAGGACTGGAATTCATAGAGCTACTTGGAATAACACTTGTTATGACCTTACATAACTTGATAGAGTGTATATGGAGGATGTAAGTATGTAAAGGAATCCTAGTTACAGTACAGACTCAACAAAACATACCATGATAGTGACATCTAGTGGATAGTTTTAGTTACTGCACATGAAAGAACAGATTTTTTTCTCTTTACTAACTCATAACCTTTTTTCCTTCTTTTATATTGCCAATTTATATGATTGGAAAATAATGAATATTTAAGTACCCTATTCAAATCATATGAGTACTAAAATATCTATTGTATGATTAAGCTCTTCTTGGGACTTGTATGTAGAATTAAGTTGTACATTTAGTTTAGTATATGCAATGCAATGTAGAAAATGCCCAGTTAGAGCAGATGTTCCAAACTTTTGCTGGTTACCTACAACGGCATTAAAAGAGCTGCTTTTCTCCATTGCATATTATTATAAACTGAGTACTTTCTTTTTTTGTCGTTTTTTTAGTTGTTTTTGACAGTAATAATGGATTTGAAATTTTAGGGCAAAGTTTTTTGACTTGGTGGATCAAAGAGAAACCTAATTCAGTAAATAAAAAACGACAGCATTAATAGTTAAATATATAATGAAAACATTGGTTTGTATGTTTCTAGGGTTTAAGGATCATCTTCACTGATGCGGCCCGCCTGGTGTTTCGGATGAGCGGGAGTGGAGGAGGAATGGGTGCCACCATCCGCATTTATGCCGAGAACTTCGAAAGAGACCCTGAGAGACAAAACAGGGAGACGCAGGTAAAGAGGGATGAGAGGGTGATGACAAGATTATATCTGTCTTTTTGTGGGCGTCTGAATGAGAGCCAGAGATTCTTTTTGTGTGACTACAGCATGTCCACTTTTGTTTGTGTTTTCTGTGTAAGTGGGTAATAGGATTCTTTACACTGTTATGACTCATTTATAAGGAATCTGATACAGAGTATTCTGTCAGTTTAGTTGCCATAAAACTGAAAATGTCAAATCTTTATTGAATAATATCAGACAATAACAGAAGTAATCTCTTCAGATTCTTATCTTCGGGTAACTGAATAGATTCAGATATATAGATTTTGACTCTAGTTTTGTTAGGAGAAAATACGGTGATCTTTGCAGCTAAAAGACAGGCAATACAGCCTATGCTGACACAGTGAAATGCCTTGTCATGATCATGTAATAATGGTGTATAATGCAGCTTCATGTGACACTACTAAAGTTAATTGACCTGTAGACTTTGGAGTGATTAGGAACACTAGCTTCTTGTGTTATTGTGGATGTTGGAATGGGTAGTGTACTTTAACCATACCCAGGGGTTGTAAAGCTGCAGTCATGATGGCTAGATACCCTCATTTAGGTTTGGCCACCTAACCATACACCTTCATTTAACAGTGTGTGATTAATGACCCCATTTTCTTTCATACATCTACAAGTTAGAAGCTAACCAATGGTGTCCTCAGCTTGCAGAGCTGAGACCTGCACTGGAGCCTTGGAATCTATCATTTATATTAGATCATAAATTCTAGATTAGACAACATGGTTGTTAGGCTAGGTTAAAAGTACTGCATATAGCCTACTTTTTATATACACAGGCTGTGTGGGTTTGTATTCAGTCAACACTGTCTGACATTTTTAAAATCCTCATTGTCAGTATTTCATGTAGTTTAACATTGTTGCTGTGTTTGTCTGCTTACCACAAACCTGTGAAGTAAAGGGTTAACAATGACACCATAACAAGGTAAGATGTGTCATATCATTCTTGTGCAATGTTGGTAACATGCAGTGCACAAAACATTCATATACTGTATAAAGTAGTTTATACACCTGTCTGGAAGCAACTCAGAATTTCCTCATAGCTAATTTCTTTATTACACCACAGTGTTCCTGTTGTACCGTTTTATGAATGAATCATCTCTAACAAGTAACAAGAACTGGTTGACAAACACTACCTCTGTAAAATGCTGAAATCCATTTTTGACACGTTTTTGTAGGGTTCGGTTGACATAAATGAAACTAGGTTATCTGCTCCTGGAATCTGCATAGCCATCAGTCCTTCAGCATTGTGTTTTTAGACCCAGAACTCACAGGATCTACCATATATGGGCTTGCCTTGCACAGCTAAACTAAGACTAGGTCGATGTCTGCTGGAAGATGTACTTATTAACCACTGTAATTTAGTGTGAGAGCCTATAAAGAAAGTGTTGGAATGTGAGTTGATATAGTGTGAAACGGGGTGTTTTCTGAAACTATAAAACATGTAAATACAATATATAGAAGGAGAACAAAAACACACAAAACAACAGAGACAATCCATAAAAGGAACAATACCAAGAAAAATCTGGAGTCAATTTTAAACTTAAAGCTAGAATGAAGATCCTGGTATCATATATCAATGAACCCAATTATATTCATGTGTGATGATGTTTGTCCTCATAGTAGCCATTTCATTGTAGTGAGACCATTTTGTGAATTTGACCTCACTGTATAAAATATCAAAACCCATTGTGACATCTAGGATCGTCAAAGCCTCATGAAACTGTACAACCACTGATTTCTTAACATGTTTTAGTTGTACAAAAACTGTAGGCAAGGCTGAGATTGAAAGGAAGTTGATGAAAAAGTTGAATAGCGTCATACATAATCAAACCTGAAGGTCCCCCCATTTTGAAACTAATTCCCGCACCACTGCACTGAGAGAGACTTACTGTATGCTAGCATGTGGTCATAGCCTAAACACTGAGTCTGATGGGGCAAACCTTAAATATGAGAAAACACTTTTGTTATAGTACTCAAAAGCACTTTCCAAATATTCCTTTTCACATGATGCAAAACATTTGCAGTCCTTGTTGAATTGCCATTGTTGAAAATGTTTTGTGATGTGTTCCTCACTGCAGGTGGTGCTGGGCCCTCTCATTGCCATTGCCCTGAAGATCTCCAACATGCACGAGAGGACAGGACGCCGCGGCCCTAATGTCATCACATGAGCAACCAGGAAAACACATGCATGCACACACATGCATCTACCTGCTCACACAGAGAAACATACCCTCAAAATACTCTTTCCTGTGCTTATCTGCCTTTTTTTTTTTAATCCCTTCTTTCTAATTTCGTTCTCATTTTTCTTTAACTGATGACTAAACTGAGGGTGCTTTATCTTTCAAAGAGAAAGTTAATGTTTTACCCTGTTCTCGCAATTGTTTATTGATAACTATCATCCATCAGCTATGGAAAACTTCCAATATTCAGTGTCTAAACCAGGGAGGCTATTTAATTATTGCCATGGATAAATAATGAAAAATATGTAAACAGCAAACATATTATGAATGTGCAGACTGACCGTTAATTTTTGTGGCTTGCTTTTATGGAGACTTATTGACTAAGAGAGCTTAAGAGAGTCATTTTTTAATTCACCATGCTGTTTTTCTATAACAGTTCAGTGTTCACTTTTCATATTGCTTGTACCTGTCTTCTCATATATGTCACAGTGGTTTTTTTTTCCAGCCATTTCATGCAGAAGTAATCCGACTGTTTACCAAATGTAAAATAAAACAGGCATTGCATCACGACTAATATATCAGTGAATTTAATTGAAATTTGATATAAAAATAATGTTAATGCATATCTCAACTCGTGTTTACTACCTAAGGACAGTACAATTGAGCTTTTTCTTTAATTTGTCGGTTTAGGCCTTTGGGAATGCATATAACCATATTTGAATATATTATTTCTTTTTTTTAATCCAAATAAACTTTTTTTGTGTGTAGTACTTGCCTTTTTTAATTGAATTGGACAGGTCTAATGGGGACAAATAAAAACACATCAGCATGAGATATGTTGCCCTTAGGCATTTTTGGATTTTAATTAAACAAATTCTTCATAATTAAGAGCACCATGTTGTGCTGATACTATATATCATGTGGTGATTGAACATCCTGGAGGAAAAGGAGGCCTTTGTTTGCAGAGCACAGCACCTGCTTTTGAACCAAGTGTGAAATGTGTTGAAGCTGTTGTGCCGAGATAAGAAATGAAGACGGTTGATTTTTATACAACCTGAATGAGACACGCAGAGCAGGAACTCATAAACACATTGATTACCGCCATTATGAGTTGAGGATATGCCAGTGGATATCCGCAAGGATGTGTTCACTCAGTCAGTCAGACATTACCTGTCAGCCATTACAGGTTATTGCCCCATCCAACTGTTTTATAATGTCAGGGGTTATTTCGGCGGTTGGATGAGGATCAGTCCCAGTTTGTCACCTTCGAATTTGTCACTAAGAAGCTTAAATTGTTCCTGTGTCAGAGACAAGTGTCTGATAGGTAAAGTGGCATGATTAGATGAATGCATTTCTTTGAAGTACCTGGTAATTAAGATCCACCCTTTGTATTTATGATCTGCATGAAAGTGAACATGCTGCAAAGTTGCAGCACATTGTTGCTCCCCCCAGTATCTTTATTGTGGTGAACTTTTCAACTGAACGGAGTGTGCTTGAGAAACCACTCTTAATCTAGTAATACAGTTTGTTAGGACGTGTCATGTTGTCACACACAGTACACATGAGTACACAGACTGAAAAGACTTACAAGTCAAGTGTGTACCATAATATACAAATATACTAAAACATACTCAATGAACCACAGACGCAGCTGCAAATAATTTAGATTTGTGAGACCGTATTTTTATCTATAAAGCCATTTTTGGCAGACTTTCATTATATATGTAAAAATGTATTTCACAAGGTTTTGCAATCTTGCAATCATTAGCTCAGGTCACAAGACATTTAACTGTTGTCTGTCCTTAATGTATAGACAGAGATTGGAAAGAGCTCAGCTCCACTTGGAATAGTCTGCAAAAAGAATTTAAATTGATGAATCCTAATTTTATCCTATTTTAGTCTGTTTTAGTTTTGTTTGATTTTTTATTTGATAAGTTTCCTTCCCTTCAACTTGTGTTGTATAAAAACATAGGAAATTGTTGTGGCCAATATGGGTCTAAGATGCTGTCTATGTAAAAGAAAATTATACTATCCCTGGTTCAAACCCAACACGGACCATTTGTAGCTTGTTGTTGTCTCCTTTTCACTTCTCTTATTTAACTTCAACTCATTTGAATTTGTGTAATTCAGTTTCTTTATTGTTGCAGCGTGATCAAAAGAGCTTATTGTCATAAATATAATCAACTGAGTAGTTTAAAAATTACAATTATGAGTGTTGGTTTGATTTGCTTTGAAATTATATCAAGCTGCCTGGTAGAGTTAATTTATGAACAAGAATTATTCTAAAATGTCTCTAGGAGCGTGAAAAGACATTGTCATGATTTATATTGCAAAACAACTCTACCAAGGGTTGGCTATATATTGAGAAAGAAACATACAACAAGTACTACAGTATAACGGCCTGATATTTTTTATTCCATAACACAAATCACCCTACAACAGGGGTAGCATCATGTACTATAAAAATTGTTATATTATACATGTAAACATGTGTTTGATTTTAGTAGCGTACAAATTAGAGCTACAGTGCAGGTAAAAGTAAGTGCTGTTTGTACATTCAAACATTAATGGATCCAACTGGATTAATACTGTCAGTTATTTGTCACACTACCAAGCAGTTTTGCAGCTCAAACATGCAGCTCATCCTTTGCTTTAGGAAACCAAAAACAAAACAATTTGAGCAACATCAATACAGAACCACAGTTTGCCCCAACAGGCTGTACCTCTTTAAAGTCATCTGGCCTCAGACAGGTCTGTTAACTGTAGGGTCAGTACAGACATTAGAGTTTAGAGATTGACCACTGGGTGTACTGATGACACAACGTGTCCCTGAGGTCCATCATTAGGTGGCAGAGCAATCCAACCCATTTTTCTGGAGCTTTCTCTCTTAGCTCAGTCAGGAAGTGATGTCTGTCTAAGATCTCCATTCATCTCATTTCTCTCAGCCAGTTAGAGAAGTTTTGTCCTTCAGTGTCCAGACAAGGCCTCCCTCCGCTCCTCTGCATCCACGTCCCCCTGCTGAATACGCTCTACTTGACTGTACCGAGGAGGCTGCTCCCAACTCCACGTGCAGTCTGGAGCCTCCGAGCTGTCCTGGCTGTACAGAGGAGGAGCGAGGCTCATCACCACATCCACCCCATCAACCACAACAACAAACTCAGGGGCTGTATCAGGACACACTTGGCTGCCCTGTGACTCCTCGTACGATGGAGGGAAGGAACTTGGTCTGCAGAAGAAAAGACATGGAATACATTAGTTTAGTTTAGTTTAATTTGTTAAAATGTTAAAAATGCAGCCTAAAATTAAATTAGAATAATTGTACACATTTTAGGATACGTAACAACAAACTGTATGTGAACAATTTGTATTGACTTTTGAGGCCAAAACAAACAAACATTTTCCTGTAGTGCACAAATGATCCATTGCTCTGGAGGGGAAGAGTAACTAGATTTTTTAGTTGTTAAAGTCAATAGTAATTAAACTACATAAAAATAAACTGGCCTTTTTTAAAACAAAACAAAAATATTTTCCCTGTAGAAAAGGTACTTTGTAATTTAGATACTAATCAATAAGCATTTTTTTCCACAGATTTTTCTTTTTAACGTGCATTTGTGGTTACAGGTGGTCTTACCTTTCAATAGTGTAGACCTGGATGTTTCGTTCAGGTCTTCCTCTCTGGTACATCTTGCTCTTCATGCTGTGGCAGATGCTCCAGAAGACTCCGATGAGCATAGCCAAGAAGCCCAACACAATCATGATGTAGGCAGGGATGACTTTCCAAGAGAACCCATACTCTGTCTGCAGGGACACCAGGTAGGCCCCGCTGCAGGTCAACGAAAATCCCACACCAGGCAGCGCAATACGGGCCAAGGACCACAGCTGTTTCTTCACATTCATAATTATTTAACTCACCTGCTGCTTCTTTATTAGAGTTTCCAGTTGCCCTTTTCTTCCTTTGTCCTCTTATGGGGACACTGGTATCAGGAAGAAGGTATTTAAGGAGTCTTATGGTTTGATCTCTTTAGTACCTGTTCAGTTCCGGACTTGCCTAAACATAAATAAATCCTCTAACCAAGTTTAAGTACCAACAAATGTAGGTGCAGTTAAAAGTGTGTCAGTCTATGAAAGCGAATGTGGCTCTTCAGACATAAAGGGAGGTGGCTGGGATGTTCCTGCCTTCTTGGTTATATATTAACACAGTATTAATCTGAGAGAGATAGGGCTGCCAGAGAGACAAAAATACAGCAAAGAAGAAGAAAGAAACAAGAAACAAGAAAAGAATTTTGCTTGATAGTTGATAAGACAACAAGGTGAGAATAAAGTAAACTTTATATTAGAGGTGTGGGCTTCAGATCTCAACTTATTGCTTAGAATGTCTAAAAATGTTCTTGATTGTGATTCTAGTTTTGTGAACAAATTTAATGTGTTTCTACTCTTAGTGTATCAGGAGCAGAATAAATAATAAATATTTCCTATTCAGAGGTAGTTAAAGCATAACTACTATATGAATAATGCACTCACTTACTCAAAGTTAAAGATACTGTGACTCTGAATGTACTGCTACTCGATATTTTGTACAAAATACATATTGCTATATACATACAAGACTACTACTACTACTACTACCAGCTATTATATAATTATAATCTTAAGAGTTAAGGAAATCTAATTCAACAACAGTGCTAGATCATTTTTAGTTCAATTAAATTCATGTATTTATTTTATTTTTAATAACATAAACACAATAAATTTGTTTAAATTAATTTTATTTAATAAACTAGTGGCAAGTTCTGATAATATATATATTATATTATATATAACACACAATCATGTTTTATTTGAAAAAAACAACAATCATTTATCATGTTGAAAGCAGGAAGGACATTATTTATATATTATGCTGGAGGCATTAAATTATGTTGTTTTTAAAATCTTCTACATTCTACAGATCAAATTTACCAGACAGCAACCAACCACTTCTAAACATTTTAAAGAAGAACACTATTTTTTTGTTATCTCTGATTTCTATATTGATGAGTAATCCACTGGAAGTGATGTATCCGTATAAGGAAATTAATTTTTAATTCGATGGATTCTCCTTAGTCATCATGTCAGACAGTCCATGCTGATAAAATGTTACAGTATTGCTCAACATTTTTCTTTGACACAACACAGTGTAGAAGTCACAAGGTAATGTTTCCATAAACTTGTTTTCATGAAGCTGGAAATTGGTTCACATGGGCACAACATGACAGTGCACAAACAAGCATACTTAACATCATTTTAATCAGCTTTATCATTATCCTTTATTTATATTTATTTATAAAATGTATTTTAATAGATTTTAAACTATGACATATTTTGCTTCAGAGGTATCATTTTTCTTTCATCGTTCCATTTAAATTTTCTTTTTTCATTATTTTCATCAAAATCTGAGACTAATTTATAGTTACATAAATGCTCTGGAAGAACTTTGGCCTTGATGCTTATAACAAAGCTGTAATGTTGTCAACTTAATTTTACAGAAACAATATGACTTGGCGTACTTTTTACAAGCAATGGCAATCACCTGGAGACTAAGGTCAGGGTGCTCAAACACCAATCCGTACATTTCAATGAATACTGGCAGATCTCTTTTATTATTATCATCCTTGTTCAGTGAAAGTTTCTGCATACTTTTCTGTGCACATGGATCAGACATTTTCAGTTTCAATGTGACAAAACAGTTTTCTCTGCTGCTCTGATTTTATCTATACATCAGACAAATCATAACTGTTGTGCAGTTTTCCAGAGATGGGTGCTATATAAACAATCTTGGAATAATTGCTGTAAACAAGTAAAAACAAAATGATAAGGAAATGTAAATATAAAGAAATAAAGATTATATTCCGTTGTGTGGCGTGCATGACTTTATTTACCCTATTTATTTGACCTTGACCTACAGCCTCCACTGTGCACCTCTCTCTTTGTTTATTGGTCAGCCTCATTATAAATCATTGTTTAATAACACTTCATTATAAATGGTACAGTAGGCTATTCTTGGATGGTATTATGAATGAAATCTATCCACACCCCCTAAACACTTGTTGTGAATGCAGCACAGTCATCAGAGTTGTTACTGGCACACTGAGAGTGTAATAGTTTTATGAACCTTATCAGTCTTATCAGTGTGGATTTAATCCCCTGAGTTCAGCTTGGGTAGTATCTAGATATTGCACCATGGCGATGTTTTTCAACACGTTAACACATCCCTGTGTCTGATGCCCACGTCGGAGAGAGCACTGGCTTCTTAATAGGCAGGAATTACCGAGTAATGAGTGTTAATAGTGGCACTTATAATTAAGCAGACTATAAATCTTTGTGGCTGATCTACACATTCAGCAATCTGGTGCAATATGTGATGCCCTATGAGATGGCAAACTGTGGCACTTTCCACAGTACAGGCACTTTACTCTCTTTTGAAGAGGATAATGATGACGTTAGCAACACGTCCCTAAAGATAAAGTGTTTCCAAATCTATCTTCAGTGCTGTTATCACACATCGTCTGGACTGATAGCACGAATGAGCTGACCTGAGAGACAAAATAAACTTCTTAAAACGGGACAATGACACTGCAATATGCTGCACATATAGAACAGATAGTCGACAAATTAATAATCAAAGACAAGCGTTCACCTGTGCCGTGGTGTAATTTTCATGTGGGAATGCATTATTGCTCAAGGGGATTTCAGTGCCTGTGTCATTATAACAGATCCACTGTAGGTACAAAATCCTATTTCAAAGTGTTTTTCCTTCGTTCCTCTGGAGGTTTGCTTTATTTGTATAAAATCACTGTATGTAGTTGTGTGTTTTGGGGCCTTTGGTGGCCACATTGGAGGGAGCTGTTGGTAGTCTGATATGCACCTGTTTGGCACACGGCTGAAAAATGAAAAAATGAAGGAAAACAAACCCCAGCCCTCTCATTATGAGGGGCTATCATTAACAGATTAGTTGACATTATCTCTGGTATTATTAGAGCTTTACAGCTGCTCCACACAGTAGCTAGAAGATAACAGTGACTGTTTTTCATATGTTCAGTTAACTTTCAGTAAAAAAACTTAAAGGGTTGGTTCACCCAAAATACCAGAAAACATACAATATTTTCTCACTTATCACTTATAGTATCCAGCCATGCAGCTCGATCAATGATGAAGGAATAAATATGACTACACATAACATATTATGTGGAGCTATTACCGGAACGATGATCACCACTCTTCTTCCTCTTTTGGTGTTGGTGTTTGAAGATGGAGGTGGAGAGCACTGTCTAACACATCAGTTGGTTTGAGATCCGGTGACTTCAGAGGTCAAATCATATGATTTACACAATTTTCATACTAATAAAGTCCAGTCATGCATGGTAAGGAAGCATCTGCATTAGTTATGTTTTTCCACTAATTTATTCGGGTTTTCTCTTTGTCTGTGGTTTTCATTAATAATTTGTCAAGGTATTTGGACGCCCTGTGGCCTAGGGGTTAAGGTGGTCACCATAAACCACAATGTCCCCAGCAATGGCTGACTCAGGTTGTCTGAGGGGCAGGGGCAAAAAATACCAGCAAAAGTAAATGTACCTTATTATCCAGAATAATGTTACCATGACTGTTACACTGTAATTATTAATAATTATTGCTGATGCATTGATATGTAAGTACCATTCTACTGTTTCCTTTGGTATGCAACAATGTTAATTATTTTATATATTCCATCTATACCAATGACTTTTATAAACATTTTATAAATTCATCATATGTTTTTTGTCTATAAAGTAGCATGGAATGAAAATACTCAAGAATGAGTACCTTAAAATTGTACTAAAATAAACGTTTAGTACATGTATTTAGTTTCCTTCCACCACTGCAGGAGTTTTTGCATAAATTCAATGTGCACTACACGTGTAGTCTGTAAACCTCCAAATTAAGCTCTCTTGCCCTCACACTTACACACAAACACACACGCCTTCTTTTAGACCTCATTATTGAGCGGTAATTATAGACAGAGTGAGACAGAGAGCCATTAGTTGTGAGGGAAGGGCCGGTTATTAATCAGCTGGACTCTGATGGGGACCTGCCATCCCCTCTGTCATTAATACACATCAAGGTCGGACTGCACACTCAGCAATACACAAGTTCACTCATTATATGGTCACCACATTTGAAGACACACACCAACCATCAATTTTTAGATTGTGTATATGGTCATATAATAAATACACATCAGTTTATGAATGTACAATAGTCATTTGCAGTAGTAGTACCATGAGAGCTCCAGTGGGGGCGATGTTGCATTATTTTCTTTCACCAATGCCAGCGGCTAGTGATCAAGAGCCCTGCAGCACTGCCTGGTATAAACAATGTAATAAGGGAAGATTTAAGATGTCTAACTGTCTCACTTTCTACTACCACAGTGGGTCCAGTGGGTGCATCATGTGGAGTAAAAGTATCTCCCAGACGCATATGTAACTTTAATGGGATCCATTTGGAGGCAAGCTGAAGGTTCCAGCCTGCCTGGTTTCGATAACCATGATGTTCTATTTCACTTGGGATTGTGGTTGAGATTTTTCCCCATTTTGTCACAGATTATAAATCACCTCAGCTCCAACTTCTAAAACCATTCACTTACACTCCGGCCATGGCGTTATTTTTATCATTCTGGAGACACTATTGAAGATAAAAGAGATGTATTAAATGTGAACCATGTATGTTGAAAGAAAGAGTGATCTTAAAACCTGGTCATAAAGAAAAGAAAGAGAGGAGCAAAGTGAGGGAAAGGGGGGAATAAAGGGTAAGTAGAGGCAAGAAGGAGGGAGGGAAGGCAGGAAAGTTTTGAACTTCTCAAACTTTCTCTCCTACTCTGATTCTCTGTCTTTTTGTCTCTTCTTGTAAGTGGCCCTCTTACCGCTCTTTCCATGTCCATTCTCTGGTGTTACATGTGCTCTTGCCTGTAGTGTTCCACCACTCTTCCTTGTAGTAGCTGTATAAACCCTCGCAGTTGTCTGGACTAGCTGAGGCAGGAGGGGATCAATGAGGAGATCGATAGGGTCCCTGGGAGTCCTAATATCCCTGT